TTCAAATCGTCAGGCCCTGCCCTGTAATAAGGGGATTGACGATGATTTGTCAAGTTTCATTTTGCATTTGCATATAATTGTAAGTTTAGGTTTGCTTTTGTAATTGTAAGATAGATAGTTTGCCTCAATTGACGAATCATACCTCTAAAATAGTAGTAGTTACAGTGCCGCATTATCTAACAACCACTGCCTGCAACTAATGTTGGAGGGGTTGGCAGGGCTGATTACGGATCAAAACTAACATAACTCTAACACTGAAATGATCCCGAAACTAACGCTCATTCATTGCACTTTGAGTCATAAAGTAGTTTTATTTATTTTCCTACTAATCTATCTACACACTTAGTTTTTTTGTACCGAGCTCGGCTGTGTGGGTCTCGGCGGGGAGGGTTTCGCTGAGATCTCGGCGGGAGTGACATTTGATTAAGGTCTCGGATAATGCCTTTTGTAATAATCTGCCTACGTTTCTTTTCTTTGTTATCTACTTTATCCCCTTTTTATTTGTCTGCTCTTCTTTCCTCTTCTCTTCTTTTGTTTTGTTTGTTTACATATAACTACTACCTCCTTGTTTTCTCTCTAATTTGTCTACTATGTCCCACCATCACGATGAGAGATGAGCTACCAAAATAGTATGCCACAAGTAAGTATATCACAGAGGCAACTAAAGATCCAGAAACAAAAACCGATAACGCTGAAGATAATGAGCTGTGGTGATTTATATGACTATATAGTATTATTTATTTATACTAACCTAAACACAACGTGCGGTGACCCAAATCCAAACGATCACTAACCAAAATAATAGACTTATCTTTTTTCAGCAGGTGTAATTTCGTATAGTTCTGTTTCTCTCTTTTCAGCAAAACAACAACAAAAAACCTCTATAACTCTTCTCCATTATTTTAATCTCCTACTATCCCCTATAAATGTATCGTAAACTAGTGGGACTGTCTGTGCAAACAGAAACAGGCCTGCTAGTGGAAGAAGGTCGTTATGCTATACGGTCTAGCATAGGCCTACGGCCAGGTTTCAGTAGGTACACACTCGCTTTACGGCAGATTGGTTTACAGTGGTCGACCAGGGTGTGGGCTGATAAATTACAAAATTACAATTACATCATTATTTCATTCATCAGCTTGAATTACGTTGATCGATATTGCATTTTTTTTTTGCTGTGCACTACACCACCGGAGCCAGCTAAGTTCAACAATCCATCGTTGCTTATGCCTTTGTTGTCGTTTGGAACCAGTTTTGCGACGATTGAGCGTATTTCTCGCGTAACTTTTGAAAAGGGCCTATTTATAGCCTGAACAATACGTAAAGAGCAAATTGAAACATTGAACGTCGCGTGAAAGTGGAACTTAATGAAGGCCTAAGTACTTTTTCGTAGTTTTTAGTTTTCGGATTTGAAAGATCGTCGGTTACAGTGGCCTGCTTACTGAGCAGAAAAACGCGGTCCCAGGTCCTTACACATCAAAGAGATTTATGGTAAAATCGCTTGTGTATCGTGTATTTTGCGAAACTCGTTGTTGTCGTTGGTTCCGGGTTTGAATGGATACAAAAATTTGAGCAACGGTATTATGTGATATGAGGGGCTCGGTGGCCTTAGAGCAACCGTTTTTGCTTACTGAGCAGAACATCATGAGTCTAATCTCAGGCCCATAGACATGCAAGATTCGTCAATCGTTTTATTTGTTAATATGACTACATGGTAATAACAGCAACTCGGTGATTAAAAAGGTGCTCGTCTGCCTAGTGGCAAACGTTTTTGCTTACTGAGCAGAAGACCGTGGGTTTAGTCCCAAGCTCCTTCGCGTTATATGATCGTTAGGACATCAATTCAGCTTATCGTTTACCAAAACGAACCCTGCTGCAAACCCAACCCTCTTATCCAACATCCCAGTGATTCCTCGTGGAAGTGCAGAGGTGTTCTCGGCTTCCATCAAAACGAGTGTCATCTCAACACAATCCTTCCCATTCCTTTCTTGACCTGTGTTCGGGCGCGGCCGACGCTGGTATTGCCTAATTTAAGATCACCAGTTTTTACACATTGAGGATGATTGCTAGTCCCAAGCATCGTCTATTGGTTCTCTGTGTAATTACAGCTGATCTGGCAATAACAGAGTAGCAACCGTGGGCGGTCAATCAAGCTCAAGCTCAAGCTCAAGCTCATTGTCTACGAAATTTTCGTCACACAGTGCCAGTCAACAGGACATCTCATAACAATCGAACCACTAATAGTACGTTCAGACTACAGAGTTATAACATGTTATAGCACTATCTTGATGGTGGTCTCTGTGTTGCAATTATTTGACAACCGTTATAACATATTATAACTATCCAGTCTGGACAGCGTTTAAGGCTCTCTTCCCATTATGCCACTCCTTCGTACGACAGGTACTACAGGACATACGGCAGCTTCCGCTTCCGGAATCATCCGAAATTGCATCCTCCTGCTCGGAGTCTTGCTCCACCAATCCCGGCGAATTCACACGAACATGCCTGAACTCAATTTCAACTTGCTTCGAGGGAATATCACCCATAGCTTGCTTTTCCAAACTGCAACCAAAGAAAGAACTCAAGCTGAACATTGCATTAGGTCCTAAGTAACATTGATAGATTCTCTTCGTCGACTTTCTCTTTGCATTCCCACGGCTATGTAAAGACATTCCCAGCTATTTTCAGCACACAGATCGATAAAAGAAGCTTTTATGTAGCATCTATTATGAAAAACATATCAAGAAACGATTCTGTGCTCAAGTTATTAACGAAAGAGAAAGTCGACGAAGAGAATCGATCAATGTTACTTAGGACCTAATGCAATGTTCAGCTTGAACTCTCATCGAACACAACATCCCTGGCAACTACAACTTTCTCCTTCTCTTCATCCCACAGCCGCGGCTGTGAAGTGCACAGCTGTCGGTGGCTCGATCACGAGGTAGGTCTTCGTCAGTGCTGTTGAGGTAAGTGCAGCGAATCTATCCCTTGAGAATTTGAGTATCTATCATAAGAACTATTTTAAATAATTGTGGTTACATTAACATAAATCACCATAATAGAGCCCCTCGGTGGGAGTTTGTTAGTTTAGTATCAATCAATGAAGTTATTACTTTGCTTTAAATCTTGATTTAAAATTCGAGATGAAAGTCTATGGGATCTAAAATAAATATCATTGTGCTCAGAAGACGAACCACTTTCAGACTATAATAACCGATATATTTTTCTCCATTTTTGAACCAGCCTATACTGCCCCATTGGCTGGTTGCTCTTTTTACTTGCACTGCTCACTGCCCACATTTGAAATGCTGATGCATCATATTAATGCCGACCCGTTGCGTTGGTCATACTCACCACCCGAACAGAAACCACCACCGTAGACCGATAATGGGCGGGGAGGGGTCAGCAGATTATAATTATGTTGATGGAGGATTTCATTGGAAAATCCGCTTGGCCCCCGCTAAGCAGCTTTCAAAGTAATGTAATTTTAATTGTTTTGCCCCTCGCACCATCGCTACTGCTGATACAGCTAGGATTTCCTTCCTTCGGAACGTTTCACGCACGTGTCCGAATGCATGTTTTGTAATTCGAGAACTCCGGAATGCCGAAAGCCGTACAAAATCACGCATTAATAATTTAAATTGCTGCCCTTGATTCGTCTTTGATTTCTTGGATTGAATTTTTCAATGATTTTCTATCCGCTGCTTACACTCACTCACATGTCTCTTGGCTCGGTTGGAATCCATTCGCAGGTCGTTCCCTTTATCCGGAAGCATGTAATGAAATTTGTAAAATTTTCCCTTCGTTCGAAAGGACCCTTTGTCGGAGCAGCAGCAGCAGAAGGAAGATTTCAGAAGAAAGCGAAGAAAAGATGCTTGTCTTTTATTGCTTTTGAATTCATCCCCAGGGAGTATCGTCATCATCGTCGTCGTCGTCGTCTTAGGACAAGAGTGAATGGCTTTCTTAGCTGGGTTTTGTTGTTTCCTTGGTGGGTTAACACCGGGCAGCACACGGTAACGGTTAAGCACCGAGAGAGTAGCGTCTTTTACTCCATTATTGGTCCATTTTGTCGGGAACATTGTTGTCGTTGCGGAGTGAAGCCGGATTGTTTTGCATTGTATGCACGTGGAAGGACAGCAATGCTTTCCTTCGAGCGTCCCTGGGGGCAATTTTCAACCGTGAAAGCATATTCAAAGCTACAGTGGAAAGTGTGCGCTTTAAATATTCGGATGGTTGGTTGGAATGTAGCCAAACGATCGGTGACCGTCGTCGGTTGAGCGCTTGGTAACTGAATGGATGGTGATGGTGATACTGTTATTCACAGAAATCGAGATGCAGGTGAGTCTGCCAACAGAATAGTGGTATAAGGAGCACTTTTAACAATTAACGCAATTGTAAGCGAACGTTTCATGGTTAAACATTCTGAAAACTTCTCGTCGTAAATTTCCTGAACCAGTCTAACGTAACATTTCATACTGCTCCCCACATACGTGATTGATCCATTTTCAATTTGTGGTTCGACTGGTTTAAGCCTCTTTAGTCTCCGCCAGCCATATACCAACATGCATATTACGAATGACCCAACAGCGAGTCGATGTTGAAAGAATAACCGACTGTTTACAGACCCGTTGTGTTACGCCGGCTGATGCATTCCTTCGCTAATCTGCGTACCTACAGTTTACCCTCGCTCTCATACATGTTAATAGTGATTGCAATGGGACGTTAGCTTGCATTGACTATTGCCTGGATATAGTCGGGCGTTTAGTAGGGGGTTTCGAATTACATCGCTCGCATTCTTGAGGGAAGGGGTGTGAGCAATCGATGCTAGGTATTTAAGTGAAAAGATGGCATATATCATTGGTTCACCTCAAGAATTCGTATTCCGTTTTATCAGGACGAAATATGAGAGCTTCTACTGGCATTGAGGGCACCACTTTATGCTCAAGCCGTTCTAAACTGCGCATTGAAGAGAGGAATTTTCGGATGCGTTCTCAAATCACAACAATGTCATGTTATCAAAGATTTATTTATCTACATATCACATTACGTAAATCTTCAACCGATCCACGTGATTCGAGAGTGACTGTTAATGCGAACAAATCCAATTATGAGAAAACACTACTAAGCCATCAATCAACATTTGCAACGCTTCCAAAAGATGAATCAACACAACGCCTATTGTCTCACACTCGAAGAAAAAATATATATTTAGTTACATTTCCTACATGCGATCGATATCTTGAAACCGTGTGAAAAGTTCCCGCGCTCCGCTCTCGTTCGTTAGTAGATAGTTCACACGCATCAAAACAATTGGATAGTTCTTACTAAAATCAGAATTTGGCTCTCATCGAATTGTAACCTAGCTCCTAACCATGAAGTAAAGTATTGCTTATCTAATTCGATCGCACCAAATTTAAATCGTTCGACTTCTTCACGGAATCCGGTAAGCAGCCGTTTGACCCTGCAGCTGATCCAGGATCTGCTTGTGCAGTTCGTCAATTTGCTTGTACAGGTACGAGTGCAAATCTCCGCTGCCGGAATGGTTGTAGGAATTGCCCCGATTGTCGAACGAGGCAACATTGCCGTTCTTGTCGATCTCCGCATAGCTCTCGAAGTGCGCCCCCGGGAATTGGTTCGGTTCGCGTTCGATCGTCTTGGCCGTCGGTTTACCGGCCGGGTCCAGGCACTCGCGGGTCACCTCGATCTGGTTGACGTTGTCCTTGGTGTTATTCTTGACGATGATGCACTTGAATGACTCCTCTGGGCACTTCAGGGTGTCACAGAAGATGGTTCCTGAGGAAGAGCAGAACAGAAAAACATAATTTTAGCGTTCATATCTTCATATTGTAACCAGTTGGCTACAACCGGTAGATTTTTGTCTGTATGAGTTATTGCTGGTTGGGAAAATTCACGTTTTGTTAATTCTAAAACAGTAGACACACACAAGATCGAGAGGGCTTGTGCCGTTGCCAAAACTCTCAAAGGATACTGAAGGGAGGAAAATCGTAGCCTTAAGGTGATTCCTTGTAGAGTCCATAAATGCCCACCATGTAGGCTATATATTAGACTGATGCAAAATTTGACTTTTTCGCTCCACATTGGCCTCCCAAAGCTACAACTCATTTGGTTAGAAACAGACTTCGCACAAGCCATTTGAAGTTTGCATGTAAATTACTATAGAAAATCTCAACTTTTTGTTCATTGCCTTCTAGTCTTTTTTCATATTGAGCTGCGAAATAGTTCGATAGCCATTCTTATAGAAAATTTTCTCAGCTACAACATTGCTGAAAATTGTTTCTATATAAAACGAGACAGGAAAAAATTATTAATTATTTAAGAGATTGGTAAACTTATGACATGATCAAGCAGCTGCTCTATAGGCAACACTGTATTTTGCAGTGTGACATAGTAGCCATGATTTTTGTGCCCTATTCAACGCCCCAGAAACATCAATGTTGCCTGCTGAGCAGTTGATTGAGCATGACCATAAGACATCAGCGCATTGAACCATTGATAACTTTCGATTCTTGCATTCAATCAAAAAGTGGTCTTCAGCAAAGTTGTAGCTGGGAAAATTTTCTACAAGTACAGTTGAAAGCTTTTGAAGCAGACCGATATGGTGAATTATTAGATAGACATGAACAAAAATCTTGGTTTTACCATAGTAATTCCCATACAAACTTCAAATGGTTTGTGCCATCTCAGTTTCTCACCAAATGGGTTCAAATTTTGAGAGGTTAGTCAGGATCCAATTTGGAATCGTTTAAGTTTTTTGGAGTGAAAATTTCAAATTTTGCATCACCTTACTATACATGCACTTCCACTTCGAATTTTCAATTACGCGGAAAATAATGCCCCATTTCACCTGAAATTGCTACTTCATGTATGCTGCAGTACAGCAAACGTGGAGTAACAGTTTCATTATGGTACATATCGTAGAAGCTGATATTTGTACAGTCAAAGTTTCGAAGTGCTTAAGAGAATAAGGATCTCACAGCGAAACACCTTAAGCTAAAAATGGATGCACACATGCTTAAAAGAGGATTGGCAAAATTTATTGAAGAGAGCCATCTTAGATATGGAAAAGTAGGCAGAAGTAAACAGGCGTCCGTGTAAACAAAACCATAGTGAAGTGCAGTTAAATGGTTTATAACCCCCCTCCTCCCTTTTAAGGGCGCGGGATCCAAGGACTGCCTCCGTTCAGGTAAATAGGCTTAAATTATCGCTATCAGCCAACCTGACGGAAATATTACCCTATAATAGGACCTCTTGTGCTCTTGTACATCTTGTACTAGGTGGGGTGAAAAGTAACCTTCTTGGGAATGTAATTATTCTATGTTTAATTTTATTCGATATAGTCCCCTTATAGCTCGATACACTTATTCCAGCGATTTTCCAACTTCATGATCCCGCCCGAAAAGTAATTTTCCGGAAGGTCTGCAAAATACTCTTCCGCGGCGTCGATGATTTCCTCACGTGAGCTGATTTTTTTTTATTGATGAGCCATCTTTTGAAGTTTGGGAATAGATAATATTCTGAAGGAGCCAAATCGGGCGAATACGGTGGATGCGGAAGCAATTGAAGCCGTGAGTAATTGATTTTAGTCGTGGTTGCGGTGCTCTTGGGTGCCGGAGCATTGTCTTGCAAAAACAATTTAATTTTTCGCTTCATGTGACACCGTTTTGCAGCGATTTTGGCCTTCAATCGCTCCAATAATGCACAGTACGGTTTTTCCTTTTCCGAGGTAGTTCGCGGATAGTATGCCATGAAAATACGAGAAAACCGACGCCATAACCTTTCCGACCCATCAAGCCTCCCTCGGCAGCTTCGGAGCACTCGTGCCGGCTTCAGTCCATTGCCGGGCACTCATTTTGGTATCTGGGGTGTAATAGTGGATCCAGGTTTCATCAACAGTTACCAATCAACGCCAAAAGTCCAACAGGTTCCGCATCATCAAGTTCAAACACTCTTTTGAAGTGCTCTCGCGTTCGTGTTTTTGGTCAGGAGTGAGCTTGTGCGGCACCCAGCGGCAGGATAACTTTTTCATATGCAGAATCTCGCCCAAAATATGACGTGTGCGCTCAGTACTAAAATCTTTGCGGTATCTGCTAGCTCACGCACCTTCACTTTCCGGTCAGCCAACACCATTTCATGTATTTTTTGACATTGTCCTCTGTAACCGCATTGGAGGGCCTGCCGCTGCGGACTTGATCCGTAGTGGAGTTGCGGCCACCACGAAACTCTCGAAACCAATATTTGACGGTGTAATCTAACGGAGCATTAGCCACATAATATTTATCCAACATATCGTTTGTTTCCTTCGCCGTTTTGCCTCTCAAAAAATAATGTTTTATTTGAAAATGAAAATCGTTATTATCCATACTCAACATGATGCCAAACACGTCACCAACAATCTGCTGTCAAAACAAAACTAAAGCCAGTATCGCACTGAAATTTGATATGTCTGCCTAAATATGAACGGACTACAAGGCACGATAACCTTTTTTGCAGTAGCAGCGCATTCTGGCGGTCTAGTAGGTTACTTTTCACTCCACCTAGTACACCTCGTGCCGTATTCATAAACGGACTCACACGGTGGTTCGGAAGTCAAGATGGCTTCCGAGCCTAACTGCAAAAATACCTTTGTCGTCCTCAAATGCCGTCTCCCTCAGGTCACTGCACTGGCCTCAATCGTCAAGGAGGATCCCTTCTCGGCTCGACCAATGTGGCCATGTCACGGTCAGCCGATTTCCGCCAAAAAAGGAAGACGCCTGCCAGTCAAATGAGCCAAAGATCCAAAGGTATCTAATTAACAAGATATCCCACTAATCAATTTTTCATACAAGGCATATAATTACCACCCGTGTGTGATCGCAGTGCCATCTGTTGAGTGCACATTGAAACTGTTGGGAGTTCCACGCCAACTTCACCACCTGGGCTCAATAAATGACAGGTGTCAGCATGGTAGATGTCAATGCGGACGTTGATGATCAGCCGAGGAAAGAAGACGAAATCATCATCATTATATTGCGATAGCAAGATTCTTACTTGTTTGTGATTGTTCCGATTTTCAATCGTTACAACTTTATACGCAACAGAAACACTTGAGAAAACAATCACACATCCAAGCGCGCATCATGATGTGCTTGTAATATATTTTGCTTTCGAGCGAAAGAGTTTCCAATATACCAACGGTATCAGTAAGATGCAAATCTCTAATACCCCGGACAGACTACCCTAATAAACGGGTACCATACACTAACGTATCATAGATAGTACTACCATATCACATAAAGTTGGGATGATATCCCTAATTGGCGGTTAGGCGCTTCTTATGGTTATTGTTTATGCGGGTATGGCTTATATCATGTAATATAGGCTGCCTTGCAATGAGCACTCATACATCTAGTTTTCACTGGAAATCCTATGTATGAGTGCTCATTGCAAGACAGCCTATATTACATGATATAAGCCATAGTATGTCCGGGGTATAATAGTACCTAATTGATGATTTGCAGAGCTGGTGCTCAAAAGAATCTTAATAAGCATAGAAGCAGATAACAGCGCCAAACGGTTTGTGACGAGTCAACGTTGACCTGCTGCGTTGGAAGAAAACACTCACACCAACATCTATACATGTACGAACCCACACAACTGAGCGGACAGTACAGCGCAAATCAAAACACGAAGCGGTGTCATTACTTTCCTATTTTATAACGTAGGAAGTATTAAATACAAATTTTGTCAACGCCGGTGAAAGCAAACGCAAAGGGAAGTAGCCGAAGCTGAATGAAGACGATGAGTGATGACACTGCTTCGTGTTTTAATTTGCGCTGTATCGTCCGCTCAGTTGTGTGGGTTCGTACATGTATAGATTTTGGTGTGCGTGTTTTCTTCCAACGCTGCAGTTCAACGTCGTCTCGTCACAAACCGTTTGGCGCTGTTATCTGTCTCTAAAAAATCCAAAGAGTGAAGGGGGTCTGCATTCTCCCAATTCAGCAACGAAACGCTGTTTGCAGCCCGCGACGCAAGTTTACGGCCACATGGTAGTGCAGAAGCAGCCGAGATTCCGCTGCAGCAGTGAGTACTTCCTGTGTGTTCATACTTTGTCCACGTAGCCCCTCCGAATACTTAGTAACATGCCAGCCCTGCGACACAGTTCAGGTGTCTCATGCTACTGAGCTAGTTGCGCGGGAGTGTTTGGTCATGCCTGAGTCACAATATATTTTGCTTAAATTCAAAATTTACGTTTCACAATCCTAGGGAGGCCAGTTCAATTGACTGGAAAATAGCTAAACATATAAACTTTCACTGAAAATAGTGCCAACGAACCAGGAAACCATTCCTACCGGGAGATCAACATCTAGGAAAAGTAAAAGTGCTATTGGGACAAGTCGGACTAAACTGTCAGAGAAAGTTTCTGCTTGGAACAAGGAATACGGGTTAATTTCATTTCAGCACGTTCCCCACACTTTGGTGGGCTATAGGAAGCTGGCATAAAATCATTTAAATACCACTTCCGTCGAATTTTGGATAATAAGTCTCTTCGGCTTGACGAAATGATTACTGCAGTCACTCAAATTGAGAGTATACTCAATTCTAGACCATTAACTCAATTTAACGCTGAAGATCTGAATGCCTTAACGCCAGGTCATTTTATCATTGGAGAACCAATGTTCTCTCTCCCCGATCTAGACGGTACCAATTTGAATCTAATTGATAAAATCGGTTCCAGGAGTTGACACGATCCGTCCAAGATTTTTGGCGCTGGTGGTCAGCTTCACCAACGGCCG